AAAGCTCTCTTGTGCATAAGCAATGGATGGGTCTGATAATAAGAATTTATGTGTAATAAAACTATTACTTTTTCTTGCTGCTGTTGGACAGCCTTAATTTGCAGGCGTTGAATATTATAACTGGCTTCCAAACTTCTGTGAAGTCCGTTGAATTGGGAGTAACCCCGCTCCTCCCAGAGAAGAAGTCAAGTAAAGAGAGAGATGCTAAAAACCTCTCCCTTGTGGAGTGTTTGCCTGCCAGAAGAGTACTTAGCAAACAAAATAATGCCACTTAGTAAACAGAATAATGTCAGAAAGCTGCTGCTGCGGTGTGTAATACATGGCAGCGATCTCAAGGACCAGTCAAACAAATTGCCATGCATGCATGCGTGGGGAAAAAAAAAAGCATTATATTTTTGCACTTGTCAGCGATCAGTGCTTGGAAAAGCTGCTCTTCAAACTCGACAAATAGTGTATGAACATCATGTAGTAGCTAACAAATATTAAACACCCAGGACATCATCTTCCCAACTCGGACTTGGTTCCAGGTAGGAACTCTCCCCTTTTCTCCTGCTTTCATTCTCTGCATCTTCCCCATCGCTGGCTGCGTCAGGGTCCCACCACCGCTGCAAGCGGCCTGGCCAGAGGAAGCTTTTCGGTCGTAGCCTTGTTACAGCAGCTGCTCTCCATACGCCCTTCTCGTCTGCCAGCCGCAGATTTAGCATGTTCCCTAAGACCTTGCCTGCTGGCTGGGCTTTTTCTACCTTCCATTTCCTTTTTCCCACTTGGAGGGATTATTTGGGCTGTTTGCTTGCAGCCTATGTTGGAGTTCCTTGGATCGCTGAATGTTAGAGATTACTCAGAGGACAGTATTTCTCTGTCCTTCTCGGTTCAAGGTTCCTTTTTAGTGCAACAGTAATAGCAGAGTGTAGATTATTTTTTTTCTTAGAAATGCAAGAGAAAAGGGGTTGGTTGATGGATTTTTCTGATAAAGAGAAGTGATCAAAATGATGCAAAGTATTGAAACCACCTAAATGAAAGAGCACTAAATTTGTCCAGTTGATAGATGTTTTCCAAAACTCAGTGTTACATCAGCTAGTGTCTACCATGCTTTCTGCAATCAATAATAGGTTTTACGGGACCTGGCTGTCATCAGCACCTCTCAATCATGCCAGACAAAGGTCTTGGGACTGCTTTGAAAGGCATCATTAATGAGTCATTTATAAAGCCGCATACTTCTCTAGCCATGATCTTTTAATTTGGGACATCTTTCTCTCCTTTTCCGTTGTTAATTACTTGCTGTTAGTATTATGGCAATTTTTTTTTTCCTCCCCCAGTGTTTGTCACAACTGGCCTTACTAGAAAATACCAGTAAAAGGCTTGAGGTAAGGTCTGGTAATAGGGAACATCAAACAGGAGCTGCAGCACTGGGGAATACAAGCATACATGAAACCATGCTGATTTTCTGATGCTCCTTCCCTTCAGCAGAATTTCATTTCTAGGTGTTGATTCCTTGGATGATTGATTGACACCATTTTATGTTCCATCCATCCATCTGTTAGGCACATTTGCAAGCAGCTGAAGTACCCATGAATGTGTAATATTAACGTTTTTGTAGCATAGCGATACAACATGCATTTTGGTGGCGGGGAGGAAGGGAAAACCAAGACATGGAGGTATGATATGTGTCATCTTCAGATGGATTAAAATTGGGTTTATGTGACAACCGGTCTGTATACACTATTTTATATTTGCTCTTGCTAAATTCTGCTTAATGTGTTAATAACACACACAAGCAGAGTCACCAAGTACATTTCTTTCGACAGAGGGTGAGCAGAGGTTGCACAGTGCTTGCAGGGGATTTCAGACATTTTTGACTTTTCATGTCAATAATTATTGATGAAAAATAGTGTACTTTAATGGTAATAACAATTTTTTTTAAAACATAATTAACTGAATTTTTCAAATTCAGTGATACAGACCTTAGAATGAAGTGGAAAAATTAAATCAAAAAACCTTCTTGTTTGAGAGCAGACTGGTTTTGTAGTTTTGGTGAACTATGGTTTTACATGTTTATACTAAAAATTGTTTTAGTGTTTATTCAGAGATGAAGGGTTTTGGAGGCAGACCCGCGCAGTGGGACACAGGGCTCACGAGCCATGTGGTGGCTGCGGATGCAGATACAGCCGCCTCGCAGTATTGCTTCTCCTGAACAGCGTTTTAAGTCGTGACACTCCAAGTGTCCTTAGCCCAGTGAAACTGAGAGGAAGGAGAGGTTTTATGGATTTCAGTCAACTTTTGGATGGGGATTTACGTTGCAATTTTTGATAGCGCCTTTACTCAGTCAAGCTCTGTCCCATTCTCTAAAGTTACTTTTAAATAAACATTAAAGAAATGTGTCATTAAACAATACTGAAATTAGGAGAGCATTCTGCACAGACTTCTGTTCTTGCCTCTCTACAAATTTATTCTTGCCTTTAAGTAGCATTATCTCAAGCCTGTTAAATGTCATCGATGTGCACCTTCGAGGAAGAAATGAGCACGCTCCTAGGCTGCGGGTGAAGTCGGGAGATGCCAAAGGTTAAACAATCAGTTGACTTCCCCGCTTCAGCCCAACAGTGGTGTTCTTTGTTTCAGTACAGCACAACAAGAAGTGTTACTGAGAACAGAACAAGGAAGATCTCATACAGAAAAGGTTACATTCAGCATAAAGTTTAAGAAAGCAAACCTACTGTACTGGTCTAATTAAAAACCATACATTCGCCTCGAGCAGTTTTGTGTGAAATGCCAACAAGTGGTTTATCCGTTTTCAGGGATGAATACCGAATGATCAGACATCTTCGCTACACAGCTGGAACCCTCTCTTCGATGTTCCATTGATTTTGGTGGCGAGCTTGTTCAGTTTGGAAATAAATCGTTAATCATGCTAGGTTTATAGCTGATTTGCTGACATCAGTAATAGGGTTTCTATGTGCAAAAATGGCTTTATTTATCCCTTTTGTGACTTTTTTGCGTCTTTAATTTTGGGATACCTTGTCCTCAACTGCCAGTGAGCTTCTTTTGTGGTTAATTTTGTGTTTGTGAATGTTTATTCCACATCTTGGGGCAGATCTCTTAGGTGGAGTCTGATACAGAAGGGATGGAAACATGAAAATAGCACCAGGGTACCCAATAAAGCTCCAAAGCTCAACACAAATTGCTCTGCCAGAGTTAAAGGAAATGTTATTTTTCCTTTTATCTGGGATTTTTAACAGCTACTTAATGCGATTTGTGCATCTTTTTAAAAAAAAAAAAATGGAAGAAACTGCAATGGAAATGCAAGGATTTATAGTTACAGGCATAAGTTTACCTGTGAGAAGAATTACTGACTGTATGCATGAACAGTATTCACGAATTTCATGTTAGATGGTGAAATATCGATGTGGAATTTCAAAGTGATCCTTAACTGAGCAAAAAGTGCAATGGAAATCAGGGAAGGTGACTTGGGAAGATGCGGAAACTCAGAATGGGAAATAACAACTCTCGGCAATTGGCTTCACAAGGACTATGAGTGTAAACCCATCTGTAAGCACCATTAACACCAAAAACTGGTACCCATCTCAGCAGGTCTGTTCAGAGCAGTTGGAGTTGGACTCTAAGGTGAAAAAGGTGTATTTAATATGAGGGAGCGTATGTTTTCTACTAATGATATATTAGCAACAATTAACATTTTTCTATGTGGACGCATCAATCGGATTGTAAGTTCGGTAATAAAATTTTAGCATCAAATGGGCTGGTAAGACAAGAATGAAATCTGGTTGTGCTTTTGGAGATACTTCTGATTATTTTTCTCTAAGAGAACTTAAAGGCTGTCCTAGCAGGTGATAGCATCTTAAGTATAGTATGGAAAATGTAACAAATTCTACTGTGCCATGCCTCTCACTGAATGGGTCAGATGCGAAGACGTCTCACCCCAGGCTTTTCCTCAGGATACGCTCTTCGGGAAAGATCTGTGGGGTTGAGTTTTCTTAGCTGGAAAGGGAATTTCAACCTACGTCTCCCACTTCTTTGCTAAATAGACTTTTATACAAAAGCTGGAGTGTGCTTCTCTGGTGATGGTTCTTTTGAAGAAACGGGAACGCTGCCCAGTGTTCGTAAACCCGTTATCCAACTCCATGAGTTGGATAGTACACGTCCTCTTCTCCATGTGACGATACTCAATTCATAAGCGATATATACTGTTAAATGAGATTACAGGCCAAAGGAGAGACCACTGTGACAGTGACTCCCCCTCCCTTGCATTGTTTGCAAATTAAATTTTCCTGCTCTCTGAGCTTCAATATGAAAATGTTGTTATTGATTTTCTGAGACTGTGCAAAGTGAAACGCAGAGACTAAAGAGTGTCATTAACATTAATAATTAAAATGATAATTAAAAATGAACTGCATTTTTCAATCTTTAGTCTATTATAATCCTCTGAGTAAAGCCCTGATCCTGTGTGCAATAGAGCTTCTTCAGTTCACTGATAACGGTGCGACCTTGAATGATCAAACTTGGGCATTTCAGTTTGGGCACATAAATGACCAGATATGTTTTTGCTTCTCAGAACCCCACATCCTCAGTCAGTTAAATAAAATTTTTTGATTCTTATAGCTGTGACAAGTTGAGACATTTTACTTGCAATATTCCTGCCTCTGATTCCGCCCCACAGTGCTCAAACGTCTTCTGTAGTATTGGTCTTGCTGGGGTTAGTCACGTGCAGAAATATTTTCAGAGCTGAGGTGTGCATGTGTAGATCTCAGCTAGAGTCCCTCTGATTTAGAATATTAGCATGGCACTCATTGATTGTTCTCAACAGAAACTCAAGTCAAACAAAAATATAAAAAGGGATAAAAATAACAATCTTGCATTGTAGTAATTTGCTAATACTATAGATTGATTGCTTCTTTGTATGTCAGGTTATCACTTGTCTGATATAGGAGCGAAAGTATTATTTTAGATATCTCTTATTTTTAACCTTTTTTTTCCCCTTCTTTTAACAGAGCATTCAGAAGCTGGCTAGCCAATACTTAAAGAAGGACTGGCTTGGAGTAAAAGCTGATGAACGAAGTGATTATAGGTAATTTAACAGTTGGATATCTCAAAATAGCTGTCTTTATAATTTCAATTTGTATAATTATTTTACTCAGCAATGAAACAACACTGCTCTTCTGTAGTTAAGATGTATTTTTTTCTTTGTTGTAGAGCATTGCCAGTTAAAAATGAAGTTTTTTTCCCTCTGAAATAGTGAGATTAGTCTTAAATAGATGTTTAATGCTCGAATAATTTAGGAAGATTGGAAAAACAACAGGACAGCAACTATGTGCACCCTGTTGGGTATTAATCCTTATATCTGAATGTATATGTTAGTAAATAGCTTTAAGGTTAGAGTAATAAGCATGTGGATTTCTTCGTAGGAAAAGAAAGCAACAGATTTCTTTTTAGGAGGCCGTTCTTCATAAAGATCACATCTGACAGCAAGGAGGGCACAAAGCAAGAAACAGTTGTTTACAAAACTTCGTTTCATTAACATGAAAGGTGGATCATAACGCAGAAAAGGACAGAAATGACTCAGTTCCTGAATGCCTCCCACCTTTGAATAGTACCTCCTAAATGTTTTGAAAAAGTTTTAAGATACTTTGTTTTAATGTGTTTGTTGTATTCTGACAAGTTTTATTTCAAACAGGAAGACATTGTGGGTACATCTGTAATTTGGACTTTCGGTACTTTCGCACCACTTGTGTGTGTAAGAAGAAATAAACTCAATTATCAGCCTTAAGTGTATATAAAATGCTCCCATAACAGACAGACCCCTCCTACCTGCAGTTTGCTCCCCACTCAGCAAGACTTTCGTGCCGTCAGATACAGCCATGGTGCCCAGAGGTCTTCTCCAAATACCTGCCACCCCCTCCCTCCCTGTCACCAAGTACTTGGACTCTGCAAGCTCCAGCAATCTTTCCTCTCTGCCAGCTGCAGGAAGGAACTTGTCGCCTTCTTCCCCTGCTCTCCCTGCTCCACCTTCTCCTTCTGACTTGGGCGCTTCTGAGCTTTTGTGGTGAATTACTGGGGCTCTGCAAAGCTCACTACGCAGCTATGGTTGTTGTCTTTGGCCCCTTACACAGGATGAAGGAACTACAGGTAGCTGAGGCAAAATTGATGAGCAGTCTATAACTATTTGCTTGATCGCAAGACGCCCAAAATCACAAAGTCCATGATCTTATGAGAAAATGGTCAGTATCTGATCTGGCTTTGGCTGCTGGGTTCTGTAGGGTCCGTTCCATTAGAGCAACAGGTTCAACTGAAAGTATTTGCCAAAAAATTGAATCACAAAACAGGGACAGGAGGGAAAATATTTACTTTTGGTAAAACTTTGGTTAAAAATTTTGTTAAAAGTGGAGATATTTGCTAGATCAGCATGAGGGATTGTGCTTTAGCTTTATTTTTAAAAGCAATCCTTGGAAGAATGTATGCCACTGTTATGTAAACCAACCTATACTTTCAGTGTAATGCCTGGCCTCCCTTTCTTCCTTCCCACAACCTTTCTCTGTTTCATTATTTTAGGAGCATGTACTCAGTTTGGAAATCGCTTCTAGAAGGCACAATGCAAGTGGCCCAATCCCGACTCAATATCTGTGAGAACTATAAAAACTTAATTTCTGAACCAGCCAGGACTGTACGGTGCTTTAAGGAACAACAGTTGAAGAAGGTATTTGTGCTTTAATAAGTTCTTTAAACTTTTGTCATTTTTATTAGAGAAAAAATAGTTATTAAAAATCTTTTGGTGTGGCACTTCTAAAATACGTATGCACTTTTGTTACAGAAGTAAATAGCCAGCTTGTTGAAGGGGAATCAAAATTCCAAATGATGTTACCCGAAATTAAAATTTCTTGGACATGAGTCTTTTAAAATGTGACACACAGTTGGTCAAAACTATCTCTGCAAATCTAACATCATGCTGTGGCAATTACTTTGAATTGGTTTTGCAGTGACAATTGCAAGTAGGTTTTGTTAGGATAGGTTCTGATTTTAAGAAAAGATGTATCTTAAAGGTGAAGGAATGACTTGTGCGGTCTTGAAGATGTAGAATGCAGATTATCCAGCCACCTTCTGTAAAGGTATCGCAAGTAAGTATTCCAAAAGCCACTATAATTGATGTGTTAATCCATGCAAAGAAAATAGTGCAGTTCAAGGAAAAAAGTGAGCTTGACTTCCGTGTAATTGGTTGTTGCATTTGAAAGTCGTTTATGTCTTAAGAGGTCTCTACCATACCTCTTAATACAGAACGTGTTTCAAATAAAATGCGATGCTCCATCTGTTTCCATAAGGCAGTAAGGCATGTTTTAAAAATACAGTGATGTGTATTTGTGTAAAGATAAGTAGTCTTCGTATTTTAATTATTTTGTGTTTGTGTTTTGCGGATTTTGCTGGAGCGAGGAGAAAGCCTCCTGTCTTAAAGAGTGATCATAGTTTACAAAAAGTCACTGCTGCACCAAATATACATTTTGGAAGTTTTCAAGAACGGTCTTTTGAAATGCTCACTGTGTGGCTTGGACAAAACATAATATAAGGAGGGAAATAGAAATGCTGGTGGAACACGCTTTCTCAAGCATTAGTTCGCAGTTGTAAATATTCCTTCCGTATATTATTATCGAGTGTTTATTAACATCGCCTCTGGGTTTAATTTGAGGTAGGCTGAATGATCCGTTCAAGGTGAAAGACAAAGAAAACCCAAACAACACACCATTTCAGTTTTGTTGGCTAAAAAGTGATGACAGCTATCTGTAACTTACCTAGTTACATGTTCTAGAGTAGTATTTTCTAAAATATTTGGCTACAAACTTCTAAATAGATGTTAGCATAACATGAGCTCTCAGTTTCTGAACAAATTAGTGTACAGCTCTGAGAAGCAAGTGCAATATCTGTTTTTCTGGAGGAAAAATTAATGTTATTAATGCTGTTTTATTGTCCGGTGGAAATTTATTTTTCTGTGAAGCTTTCCAAACAATGCTGTAGCAATTTTATAGTATCCTGACTGGGTAAATAATCTCCAGTTTTATTCTTCTACAAGTGCTGATAGTTCAGTGTTCATGAGTCAGCAGTAGAAGTGGGGACCACTTCTCTGAATTTACATAAATGATAGAGGTTCCTTTTTCACTGCGCTTTTGAATAGGCAGAACAAGTTATTACAATTATCAGGGCAGTACTTCTGGTTCAAAGTATTCTAACAGTGATACACTTTTTCTACAAAGTGGAATAACCATCTACTTGGTGGTATTAATTTTCCTTCAGAACAAATTTATCATTTTATGCAGTGCATTCTCTTGCCTTTTCGTTTGGATTTCCAAACAGATAAATAATATGTTATGCTGACCTCCATCCAGACAAGAGCCTATAAAAATTGAAATTCAGAGTCAGTAAAATACTTGTAACGTTATACTGGAATGCCCATCTAAAAGAGAGGTTCTATTAGAAGCGGCGTCTCCTTCCAAAATTGCAGTAGGTATTGAGTTGCTCTTGATGAGATGTCATCTTTATTTTCCAGATGTTTCTGTAAACCTTTACTTCTTTGACTTGGTAGCACATAGAAACTTCATTTTTATGGCCCATTTTAATGCTAAACTGGAACAATTTCAAAAAACCTCATCATAATTTGCTGAAAAATACTGCTAAATCGCAAGATGACTCTGGAGCAGGGGTAATAAATGTGTCTCCTGGAGACCACGTCTGACCTCTGAAGAAAACTGATCCCCTGCCCTCGCTCAGCGGCTCTTGGACACAGCCGAGAAGGCTGTTTTGAGGGCAGCAGCCCACCCTCTGCCATTATCTTTCCCCAGAGACCTTGTAAGCTTATCCCATAAGTGATGTGTGGTTTCATATCTTGGCCTTGGAAGACAAAGCAGAGAGCTGCAGTGTATGTTCATCAGGTATCTTCAGGAAAGGTGCTGTGGCCAGCACTGCAGACGTTTGCACGGATCTGTATCAGAAGACTGAAAGGCAAATAGAATAAAATCATTTGGCAAGGAGGCAATGCAACAAGAAACCATCTCTGTCAGCTCTCTGAAACAGCTTTTTACATACAACCAGTGTCTACCCAACCCAAACCCCCTAAATGGCATCTAATCTCCTGACATTTTTTTATTCTTCAGAGATGCAAAAGCAAGATTATTTTATGCTTTTAAAATGATCGTGTTAACAACTGGGGTTATTTGATATTTTAATTTTTTTGATGCTGGCAGGAGGCTTCAGGGATCAAAATACTGATTGATGTAGCAAAAACCCAGTCCTTTTGAAATCATTTTAGGTCTCTGTCAGATGTCCAATATATACAGATTTTTCTACCTTTCATTTTTCTATCATACACTCAGAGGTCTTCAAAAAACCCAATCCTGCCCTGCGCCACTCTCCAAACCACCCACCACGAAACCTGCCTTATGGAGCCCATTCCTTTATTGGTCTGCGCACATTAAATACTGGTTTTAGTGTGAAAGTCTGTTAATTTTTGTGTACTTTATAGCCAGAAAAGAATTTGACATTTTTAGTGAGAGCAGAATTGTGTGGTGAGAAGACAAGCAATTTCTGTTGACTGAAACAAAAAGTTTCTTTTTGACAGGTGGATGGATATTATTTTTAACAATTGTTGAATACTGTAAAATTAATGTTACGTTGTTGGATTACATCACCTTATTAATCTTGCAGTGCTTGTAAAGGAGGTTACATGCATTAATCATTAGCGTAACGAAAAACCTTAGGTGTTTAGGAGGGGCGTTCAGTAGGAGGACAGTGTGTGGCACCTCAAATGGGAGAAGTGGGTTATGGGGTAATGGTGTGAAAAGAGGTGGGACCTTGGGTCTGGTCTTTGAAGGACAGAAAGGCAAACTGGTTTCCTTAAGCAAGCTTGAGGCGCTGCCTCTAAGTATTGCCTGGAGCCTTCGATGACCACGTCTAGTTTGTAATATGTGTAATTAAATATAAATGCATTGAACTATCACTCCTACATGTATTAAGCTAGTTTAGGTGAAAGAAAATCTTTACAAATCTGTTTTAAAGACAGTATCATTCTAGACATTGATAACCCGCATTTGTTTTGTTAAGTAGAGCTTTTCTACTTAACATAGATCCTTTCCCAGAATTTTTTTTGAAGCTGGTCGGATGTTTGGAGAATTGCTGAATGTTGTGGTAATTGTGGGTTCTCTACGATCAGTAGCTCAGCCCCACGCAGCTGCTCACTCACTCCCCCGTGGTGGGATGGGGAAGAGAATTGGAAGGGTAAAAGTGCAAAAACTCATGGGTTGAGATAAAGACAGTTTAGTAGGGAAATCAAAATAAAGAATTGATTCACACCTTCCCATCGGCAGGCAGGCGTTCAGCCATCTCCAGAAAAGCAGGGCTCCATCACGCATAGCAGTTACTTAGGAGGACAGACACCGTCACTCGAAACGTCCCCCCTTCCTCCTTCTTCCCCCAGATTTTATTGCTGAGCATGATGTCATACGGTGTGGGATATCCCTTGGGTCAGTGGGGTCGGCTGTCCCGGCTGTGTCCCCTCCCAACTCCTTGTGCCCCCGCCTCAGCCCCCTCACTGCTGGGGTGGGGTGAGGAGCACAAAAGGCCTTGGCTCTGGGTAAGCCCTGCTCAGCAGTAACGAAAACATCCCGGTGTTATCAACACTGTTTGGTCACAAATCCAAACCATAGCTCCATACCAGCTACTACGCAGAAAATTTAACACTCTCCCAGCCAAAACCAGTACAGTAATTTTTTCTGCTATTCCTTCGAATGTTATTTTTTGACATTAAAATATATGTCATAACACTCGTTGGATGTATGGAAAACAGATGGAATTATTTTCACTCCTTGACTATGCATTTTAAGCCTGTAAGTTTTCTTTGTGAATAACACTGATTTCTGATTTAACCCTATTTGTTGGAAAGCTCTCAAAACACTTTAAGAAAAATGAGCTCTTAAAATAATGTTTATCAGATTTTTCTTGTTGCTGTTGTGTTGTGTTTTACATGGTAGCTTTTGTCTTATGTTTTGAATTTCAGAGAAGGAAAGATTAATCATTTTTTGTATCTCCTCCAGTAGAATGCCTTTGGATTTTTCCCAATTGTATTCCAATTATTTCAACTAATTACCTCATCCAAAGTGTTCAGAACTTTTAAGTTTAATTTGCAAGTTATCGTTGAATTTGAATAGTTAAAAAGCAGCAGGAAAAAGAAAGAAATACGGTTTTATGTTCTGATCAGCTTTAAAAGAATAGCATGAATAATTGACCAGGAGTGACTTGGAGACCGCGTTGTTCCATGTAAAATGTAACGAAGAGTAGTAAAACGATGATGATAGTATTATTTGGATGCAAACACTCATTAATATTTGTTTCCTGAATGCTTTTTTTCAGTGCGTGGACCAGTTGACAAGGATCCAAGCTGAATTACAAGAGACAGTAAAAGATTTAGCTAAAGGCAAAAAGAAATATTTTGAGACTGAACAGATGGCTCAAGCAGTGCGGGAGAAAGCTGATATTGAGGCCAAGTATGTTTTTATAATAGCATATGTATAAATAATTGCATGTGTATAAAGCAGATTTGTACTTGTATTAGTTTTTACACTTGATATTATTTTCGAAGAAAGATAATTGCTTTCAATGAGCTTGTGCCAATTTTTTTTCTTTTTACTTATATACATTTCTGTAACCATTTTGAGCATGCTACTGCCCTGATAGTAAAGTCTAACTTATGTACGCTGGTGTCTTTAGGGAGGAAGTTAAACTTAACTGCTTTAATTTCACATTTTCAAAGGACAGTGTGTGAATGGGCACTCTTTTTGATATTAAAGGCTGCTTACTTCATTTTCTCTCCACTGATCTCAAATGTGTTATCAGTCCATTTGAGGAGGGAGAGGAGATGGGATACTATTTTCCATTTTTCAGACTTTAGGTTTTTATGCTCCTTGACATCCTAGAAAGGTTGATTTCCTTCCTATAAGGAAAGCATGTAACTTAGATGTTTTCAGTTTGGAGTTTGGCCTGTCTTATGGGAGTTTGCCTCACCCTTTCTCGCAAATTTATTTATTTATTTTATTTATAGAAATTACTCAGAGTTGTTCTCAGGGAATGAAAACAAATTATGATTTCATTAGAGAATTTTCTGTCTTTCACTTTATGAAGGCTGGATGATGAAAACAAGAACTTTAGTAAGATTACCTATAATACCTGAAGAAAGTAAAAAAACCAAAGCAAACATGCAAAACAACCTAAAAATTGAGCTTGGGAATTTTGGGACAGATTCATACTGGAGTATTGTTCAGATGAAATTAGCTATTTGATTTTGTTTTCTTATTTACTTTTTAAACTATCGTCTTTCAAATAGCTAATAAAGTACTTCTCTAATTTCTCTTTCATGAATCCAAATGTGAAAATCAGACCAAGTCTGCTTTTAAAAGTACGTGTGCATATGTGGGTACTCCTCCGGCTTCCTCAAACATAATTACTAATGATTTTGCATTAATATTCCTTCAGAAGACCAGTAGTTCCATTTATAGCACTGGAGGGCTATACTATATATAGAGTCTGGAGGGCTAACTCAAAATCCATCAAACACCAAAATAACTCACGTTGCAGCCACCACCCAATTTCCCTTTCATGATGTATTTAGATTTTTTTTTCCAAAAGATTTCAGAACATGCAATGAAGATACTATTGATGTAGCTTAGCATACTTTGTAATATTTTTCTTGATCCTTAAGCTTTACTTAAAACTATAGAAATAGAAATTTAGGCATCAAATGTTACTTAAATTAAAATTTTGCAGAAGTGCAGTCACCTGTTTATCCCGTACTTTCGTAGAAATAGTACAAGACAATAATGATTTCTGTTAATCTCTGTTTCAGGTCCAAACTTAGTCTTTTTCAGTCAAGAATAAGCTTGCAGAAGGCAAGTGTAAAGGTGAGTATAAGGAAAACTTAAGTTTTGCTGCTAATTTTGTGAGGCGTGTAACCAAAGCTTTCTGGAATCTAGAGATGACTGACATTTTGGAAGGTATATTGTTGGAGCAAGTGATGAGATAAAAGCACTCTTCATGCATTCAGAGTGCAGAATTACATATGACCTAATTTACAAGGGAAGTTTTTCAAGTGGGAGCTGTAACTGTGCTTTGAAGACCACATGTGAAATTGCAACTGCATGAGAGAAAAATACATTAGAAATCCCCTTTCCATTAACAAAACTGTTGAGCTATTAATCCCTTGAAGTTTTGACTATATTAATACATACATATGCATGTTAATTTACTATTAATACATGTTTGGTCATTTAGCTTCTCATTAGTATCTATCTTTTAACTTCCATGTTTTGTTGTAGTTAAAAGCACGACGATCCGAGTGTAATTCCAAGGCTATCCATGCAAGGAATGATTATCTTCTCACTTTAGCAGCTGCTAATGCACACCAAGATCGCTATTATCAAACAGACTTAGTAAACATTATGAAGGTAAGGAAGCTAATTTACGTACGGGAATTGGGAAGTGTGAAAATCCGGAAAGGAAAATGAGTGATGTACGAAATCTTGGGTTGCTTTGCGACAGCAGTGTTGACTTTTCCAATATGCTGCAATAGATGAGAGTGCAGTGCGGTAGATAGATTCCTGCAATAGCGTGCAGGATATTTGCTACCAGTTATCAAGCTCCAAAGCTAAGCAGTCACCTTTTATTTTTTTATTTACTTTTTTCTGAAAAACTCACTTGGATAAAGGAATCGAGTTTGTAAAACTAAGACCTGTATTGTCCTATTGTGGTTGACCTTAAGTAAGCTGGAGATTTTTTTTGTTCTTGAGTGGTATATCCCATAATCTTTTTTTTGTATCCAGTTATCTGGTCAGAACTTTTCTTTATGGTATGATTAATGAAAATATAATCATTAAATATCTTGGTTTCAAACTATGAATTTTAGAGAATAACAAATCAGCATTGCTGTTCTCACGTGTGGCAGCTTACCAAGTCAAGCCAAGGGTAGATACTTGAACTCATGGGAAATTACATACTTAAAAAGTTGAAATATGATTGCTCACTTTTTTTTAGTATCATCCTAGAATTACTTGAATGTACACTGTTCCTGTATCTTAGAATTAGATAGTGACAGATGAATTGTAAAATCAGCTATTAAAGCTAATTCACATTTTAAGTAGTTGCATTTCATATATTGACATTTTCAAAGTTTGTTTAAATTTTGTTTTTAAATTGTTTAAATTTTGTTTTTAAATTGGCTACCTACAAACTATTTCCAGGTGATGCAATCGGGCATAGCGATTAGAAGTCTGTAATTTGCATTTAAAATTACTTTATTGAAGAACTATCACTGTATTATAACAAATCACTGTATTAGCAGCATGCTTTTGCATACTGGGGAGAAAAAAGATACTGATATGAAAAGCAGGTAACTGAAGTAGAAAATGAGAGCACCAAACGAGGCCTCCAAGGGATTCTTGTATGTAATTCCATTATATCTTGACTAAGTTAACCACTCCTCTGGCAATATGTGTGTTCCTCAGAGCAAATCACAGCCCGTGTTATAAATTCATTGCTATGCCTAATACCTGATTTCTTGGAAGGCTAAATCAGATCTGGGTATCTCTGAGGCAAGGCAGGGCTCATAGCCCTTGAGGCAGCAACCCTATCTTTGCTCTGTGTGTATGTGTGGCTGTGCTTTTCTATTGGTAAAACATGAATATTTGTGTTGACTGAATCCTTAGTACATGGAAATGGTTATAAAGTAAGTATTTCCTTATAATACTGCAGATAAAATTATTAATTGATGCTTACATAAGATAAATCCATACTTACATGGGTGGTTGGCTGTCATCAGTTAATGCTCTTACTTGGAGGTAATGCCGGGAGTGAATTGAATATGCTCACAACAAAACAAACAAAAAGGACATTGGAAATAATGAAAAAATGAGCAGCTAGCCCAGGTAAAATTATGACTGGCTCTGGTGGGTGATGGCTGCTCTCATCTCAGGGCATTGTAACATAATCCCTGCAAACGGATTCTTGTTTCCTCTGTCTGCCTGGCAACGTTTTGTGTGTATTACAAACTAAGCACGTAATGAGCTAGGCAGGGTCTTCATCTCTTTGAGTTTCCTAAACACTTAGGTCTTTTGGATGGTGTGGGCTTTCTGTACTGTGATGTTAGAAACCTGCAGATACCCCAGGAATGTGGGTTTTACAATGAAACATCAAACTAAAACCAGTTGAATCATTTTTGAAAGACTGAACAGAAAACCAAGTCATGCTGGTGCCACTCCTCTGCGTGTCTGCTGTTGTCTGTAGATGTTCTAAATGCATGGGGTCCAGTTGCTAAAGTCGCTGCTGATCTATGATGGTTTCTTTACCCAGTTACTGGGCTCCCTCTTACCTAGTCCTTTCTTTTGTAGAACTTGATTTGAAGCTTCTTTTCAAAGTGAACCTTTTTTTTGCTATGGAAGCCTCTCTGTGCAACCTATTCTTCTATATAAATAATTGTGGTTTACTGAAAACCTAAGTTGCAAGTACTTTCATTGAGCCAAATTACTTTGGAAGAAAAGGACAACATCCAGGGTTCTTTTTCTGCATCTCTCAGATGTTTATAGTAGTTAATTCTCCTTGTCTGATAAACAACTGTGTTCTTAATGAAGAACTGTAAATTCAGGGGTTTTGTGCTGTTGTTCATGAGCAAAAATCCGTGGGAGCACACCCATGGGTCCTTGCAACAGGGAGATTCTTTGGAGCAAGGGAAAGAATAAGTCAAAGGCAAGGTCTCAAATTGAAATGGCTACTGAATGCATTTTAGAAGAAAGGGGAAGATCCTCAGGAAAATCAAGTGTAATGTGTCGCTGGGCTCCAACTGCATTCATCTGAGAGCTTTAATGTAAATTCAAATGTGAAACTGCTTAAATGTAAACAACAGTGTGTAATCTGGTGCTAAAACCTGCCTCGGTGCCAGCAGAAAGCAAGAAGTGTGTCCCAACCTTTGCAAAGGGCTCCAGGAGAGGTCCTGTGAATTATAGATGAAGAAATCCGACTTCCCTACCAGGCAGGCTGATAAAACAAGTGCAGTGATAAATGGAGTCAGTTCACATGTGGATAGATATGATACGGTGGGAACAATCAACATGATTTTTTGAGGAGGGAAAACGCCCTTCAAAAAGAGATCTTGAAGGAATCAGTGAGCCTGGGGGATAAGGGTGATTCATCTGATTTAATGTCTTGAATTTGCCAGAAGCTCTCAACAGACTTCCCGCTCAGTCTCTGCTTACGTAAAAGACCAAAGTTGTTACAGGTAGGGCAGTGAGGGTTTTCTCATAGATTAATAACTGATGAAGAGTTAGAGAAGATGTGGGATTAAAGTAAATACTTGGGGTTTATAAGGGAAGGAGATTTGCTGGCAAGATCCTGGTTTCTCTCTTACCTATCTCCTCCTTACCTATCTCCTCCTTCTGCAATGCATGTGGGAACTGTACTGTGTAAAGTACTGAGAAAATGATTATTTTATTTAGCATAGTGATTTAATATAAACAGTATGGAGAAGGAACTGAAGAGAGAGGTGACGATTTGAAAGTGAAGAATCATTCAGTATAAGCAATGTAAAGCTTATGACCAAGAGACATAGTAAGGTCTTGAGAATTTTGTTGACCAGGCGAGAAAATAGCACATAAAAATTAATGTTAAAAGGAGAAGAGTAATCAATTGGGGAGAACACAGCAGCTTACAAGGTAAAGAACCCTGAATGGCCATTACCATTTATGAAAGAGATACTAGAACTGGAAAATGGAGTGAAGGATAAAGAAATGGAGACTTTTTCTATTAAAAGTTTTTAATCCTTCCTCTAGATAACATCAGTAGGAAGGGAGGGATTTTGAAAGAGTATTAAAACCCTTTCTAGGCAGCACGATTCTTGTTTTAATAGGTTGAGTGGTGGTGTGACCCAGTCTATGTTACATGATACAATACAGTTGTAGTGTCTAAACTAAACATGCTCATTTAGATGTTGAGATTAACATTCTAAAAATGTGCTTTTTATCTCAGTAAGTCCTTAGGTATTCCTGTAGCGGTGACCACCTTGCTATCTGTGAGTATTTCTCCATTTAGCTGCCATCGAGCTGATGCACCTTCTTCTGTTTGAACTCTGCAGGGCTGTCCACATTTCTAAATCACATCAAGTTTCTCCTTAAACTGTTCAGATTTTATCTGTCTTGCAGCACCTTTGGAGTTATTGACTTCTTGCAGATACTGAGCTTCTTTTGTTGGTTCTCTCTTGACCGAGACTCTCAGACAGAACTAAACATTCCCGAAAAATTGGCTTCTCATACCAGCTGCCCTATTTGAAAGCAAACTGGAAGACTGAGTTCTGTAAGGAGCAAGCTGGGATTGTTGAGGGGAATCCATAGCATCTCAAACATTGTAGGACTTACTCAGTTATTTAGTGTCTACTCTTTCAGAGTGAGTTCTGCAAATTGGTGGTTATCTTCACTCTGTAGACCAGGTGAGATTCCTGTAACCCACATCACCTATATAGTGAGCTGTGACTCTAGTACCAGTTTCATTAGTTTGTTTGAAATCAGGTGCATTACCTCACCTTTTTATCAGGACAACTGTTTTTGTATCTGGCAGGTATGTACATTTTAAATTATTTTGGGGCTAGTTTTCAGAGTTATTCAGTAACTTGCAGATAAATCCTTTATCTAAATAATACTTCAGAATATTACTTGTTTAATATAGTAACTTTCAGACTTGAAAGACAAACTACCCCACCTCCCTTGCCTTCAAAATCTCCCTACTCCTCAGCTTAAGTATCAATTTACAATAGAGCCATTAGAAATCGTGTGGAAAGTGGAAAAAAAGTAATTTTGTTCTGTTTTTAAAGACAGACCTTATATATCCTTTGTCTAGAATGCTTGTTTTAAATGGCATTTAGGTATAAAATGATGGCTGCTCGGTACTGCTCCTTTCACAAAATGGTTTGGGTTGGAAGGGACCTTAAAGCCCACCCAGTTCCAACCCCCCTGCCATGGGCAGGGACACCTCCCACCAGACCAGTTGCTCAAAGCCCCATCCAACCTGGTCTTGAACACTTCCAGGGATGGGCCAGCCACAGCTTCTCTGGACAACCTCTGCCACGGCCTCACCACCCTCACCGGGAAGGATTTCTTTCTAACAGCTAATCTAAACCTTCCCTCTTCCACTTTAAAGCCATTGCCCCTTGTCCTATCACCCCCTGCCCTTGTCAAAAGTCCCTCCCCAGCTTTCTTGTCGGCCCCTTTAGGTACGGGAAGGCTGCTCTAAGGTCTGCCCGGAGCCTTCTCTTCTCCAGGCTGAACAACCCCAACTCTTTCAGCCTGTCCTCACAGCAGAGGTGCTCCAGCCCTCGGATCATCTCCGTGGCCTCCTCTGGACTCGCTCCAACAGGTCCATGTCCTTCTGGTGCTGAGGACCCCAGAGCTGAAGGCAGTATTCTTTG